TCGGTTTAGAAGTGTATATGGATCCATAAAGTATGATACTTGGTTTAAAGCATGAAAGACCTTGGTTTAGAGGAATAAAGGCTTCTTTTGGAAGTGTAAAATGGAATAAAATTCCTTACAGGGTCTTGTCAAGACCATACAGAGGACTGAATGTGGAATTAGCATGTTATATAATTTTTGGATCAATTATGCTGAAATTCCACACTACACTTTATCACATATAGGAATCCATGTTGGTGAGATATTAGTGTTTGTAATTGTGGAAGGTGTTATGTTGTTCAATAGCATAATTACCGCTACAGTTCGATATTAATATTTCTCATTGAACGGGATTCTGTGCTGAGATGTTTCTATTCTGAATCATGTTTATGTGGCCACTAAAGTTGTTTAACCCGAGAGTCATTTTTTTCTTAAATAAAATATTTTCTTAAAGTAGTAGTCAATGTTGCCTAAGTGGGAGAATGTAAGAATTTATTCTTAATTAGGCTGTCATTGACTATATTTTGTTTGGTTTGTGAAAAACGGGTTGAACGTGATTCAGATAGATTGACTGGTATGAGCCCAAAATTATTATTGTGATCCATAAAGTTTGGGCCATGGTCATCTTAGTGTATATATTATTTTATATGTGGATATGTGATATGGAGGTGTAAGGCCTGTTTTAAGTTATTTGGGTTCCTTAATGGGAGGGCCCAGTAATTGTTTTATTTAGGCCCAGTCCCCTCTCCTATCCTTATTAGGGTTTACATATATCTATATATATGTAGATCAAAGGGTTGTCAGCTCCATTGAAAAGACAACAAAAAGATTAGGAGAAGGAGGGGAAGAGTTGGTGCTAAGGTTTTCCAATTGTGAATGCCATATTCTTTAAAAGAAGTAAAACTCAAGACAATAACGGAATCAAATAGTATGTATCTGAGTTTATATTTTAGTAGTTACTTATATTCATATTGTTTTGATTTCTAGTATATAGATCCTAAAATCTTACATAGAGATTATGAACTCACCAACTTCACCAAGATTTTCTTGATCGATTCAGTATTTTTCTCTCTCTCTCTCTCTCTCCCTCCTTCTCTATTTCTTGATCGATACAGATCTTTTTTTTTTTTTTTTTTTAAGAATTCGTCATGATATATCTGATTCATGCATAAGCGCGCAACATCTCAGCCATTGGCTGGATCACTTTAGGAGATCACTGTAAGATTCACACTCTAGAGGATCCTAACGCACATGTCCCGACTAGGTTGGCAATCGCCGTACTTACTTTCGGTCCTTCATTAATATCTTTCGCAATCAGCGTCACTAGTTTTTTCACTGTGTCTGTTCTTTCTGTATACACGGCCATATGTATAGCTGTGTCACGTGAATCAGTTAACTTCATATGTCGAGCCTCTGACTGAGAATAATTCTCGTATATATTCACAACCTCACCCCATTTTCCCTCCATGACATTTTTGTACAACTTCTGTTTGATTTGTTCCATATTTTTTGTGGCTACTTCCTAGTTAGCTCAGTCAGCAGACAGTAAGTACATATATATAGCCATGCAAATCAGTGAGAGAATTTGTTTAGCTTGCAATGTAAGGAAGATAACAACACTCCAACCCCACCACACTCCCAATCCAATCTCTTTTTTTTTTTTTTTAATTTTATTTTTCTTCTTTATTTATTTATTTATTTTTATCAAAAATAGCGTTAATATGTTAGTATAATTAAATTATAATTGAAGGGTTCGTCACTGTTCTATCAGATCGAATCCTTAACCACCCATTCACCACACCTTAGGTGAACCTGTTAGGCTATTGATTCAAATTTTTCTTTTAATACATATTAATATTTAAAAAAAAAAAAAAAAAAATGCAAAAAACACAAAAAACACAAAAAACTTCAATATTTAGAACCAACCAAGGTGATTATTTTTTCATAAAAGAATAAAATGATGTTATCACTGTGTGTTTGTGATACTTTCATTGCAAATCAATACACTTCATGATTCGTAATTGCATAGTTTTACTTCCAACATTATCACGATTTCAAATAACTATTTTATAATTATTTCAAATCTTTCATAATTAAGTTACACATTTCAATCTTAAAATTCACAGATAAACTATCAAATTTAACTTTAATCTTTTTTTTTTTTTTTGATCGGCAAAATAAATTTTTATTGATGAAATCAATAAAATGATAAGATACATCAATGAAGAGGAGCTCAGAGCTAGGACAAGCTTAAAGCTCCAGTTGGTGAGAAACCAACAAGAAAAGGAAACAGAAAGTTGGCTAGACATCACTAATCTAACAACAGAGTGATAGAATTGTAAAACAGAAGACAAACAACCAAAGACCCCCGAACCAGCCCAGAAAGCAAGAACACCAAGTCAGCAAATCACCTATGAACAACTCAACTCTATCATCACTTTGTTTGCTTGCAGTTCACCCACATAACAACAGATTGTAGATCATTGCAGAAAACCAACAAATCACTACTTGCATAAAACCAGTTCAGATCACCCACTGGGATGACAGATTACAGTTCATAACAACACAACACCAATTGTAGAAGCCCACTGGGATGACAGATCACTAATTGCAGGCAGAAGCCCAGTTCAGATCACCCACTGGGATAACAACAGCAGAAGAAGACAGAGTAGTGATAACATCAGTCAAAAATGCTGGAGCTAAAACTGAACAAAACAGTGGTAGATTTCTTTTAAACTGAATAGCATAGCCTGGTTTGTCTCCAATTGAGAACCACATCCTCAACTGTGAAGGGGAAATCCTCGATAGAAGCTTTAAGCCAAAGAGCCAATTTGATCTTAATAAGTTCCCACAATGCTGCAGAATTAGGATGAGCATCTCTAAAAGCACACTCATTTCTTAGCCTCTAAAGGGACCACAGTACAATCAGTGGGATTGCTCCCCAGAATTTCCTGAAAGGGTGCTTGAGCTTAATCCCCATCCACCAGTTAAACAGAGCTGCTATAGATTGAGGGATACACCAACAGAGCCCCCACTCATATAGCACAAATGACCAAATGGTCCAAGAGAAATGACAATGAAGCAAAACATGAGAAACAGATTCAGAGGCCACTTTGCAGAGAGGACATAAAAGGAGAAACATTGCTGCCTAGGATACCAATATCGAGTAGAAACACCGTTGTTTTAACTTTGTTTTTCCAAGCTAACCAACCCAAAAAACGAACTTTGGGAGGTAAGGTATTGTTCTAGATAAATTTGCTGATGTTGAGGGGAGGCATAAGGAGAGAATTACAAAGAAAATATAGGGAAGACACAGAGAAAACACAAGAACCTGGGGCAGACCACACCAGGCTGTCAGCACTGTTAAGGCACAAAGGGGGGGCAGAAGATAACATTGTAATCAACCTAGCTTCACTGGTCTCTTCCCAGGTATACAGGATTCTTCTATATGGAAAGTTCCAAACTGAAGTGCTGGTTTTCCTCGCATAGAATTGTTGAAGAGAACCATTCTTATCAACAGACAGGTTGAAGAGAGAGGGGAACTCATCCTTTAGATAGGTAGATCCACACCACTTGTTATGCCAAAATCTGATACGGCTACCATTCCCAACCTTGATTTGGCAGTTATCGAGGAAGAATTGAAACGTATGAGAACTATGGACTCCTATACAAGTGATATCCTTTCATATCCTAGAGAACTTGTAGGAGGATTGCACGGGAGGATGCCAACACTGAACCTCAATTTTATATTTGCTACAAATAACGTTCCTCCATAATGCTGAGATTTGATTTCCAAATTTCCACCACCATTTTAGAAGCAAACATGCATTAACATCCCTTATCCTTCTGATGCCCAAACCCCCTTGGGCAACACTTTTTGTAACCTCCATCCATTTTACCAGATGAACTTTTCTTTTTAGGCCATCACCACCCTACAAGAAAGCAGCCTTGATCTTTTCAATTTCATGAGCCACACTTTCGGGCATCTTGAAAAGGGAAAGATAGTACACCGGGAGACTAGAAAAGTACAGACTTGATCAAGGTTAACCTCCCAACAAAGGACAGCATTTTCCTCTTCCAACCTGAAAGCCTAGATCTAATATTATCAAGCACAAGCTTCCAGGTTGATTTTCTACCCGGGTTTGCTCCTAAAGGTAGCCCCAAAAATTTCAGTGGCAATCTTTGCACCTGACAGTTCAAGAGTCTGGCAATTTCATTTAGATACTCATCATTCACACCTATACCACACACAACACTCTTGTGATAATTTATTCTAAGCCCCGAAAGGACTTCAAAGCATCGGAGGAGTCTTTTGACAATCACCACCTGGTCCATATCAACCTTGCAGAAGAAAATTGAGTCATCAGCATATTGAAGGTGAGATAAAAGAACCCCATTAACCCCAACCGAGACGCCATGAAGGATGCCAAGATTTAGTGCCCTATTTAGGAGAATATCGAGCCCCTCAGCCACTATATTGAAGAGAAAGGGTGACAATGGGTCACCTTGACGGAGTCCTCTTTGCGGAGAGAACTCATTAGTTGGTGAACCATTGACTAGAATGGAGATTCTAGATGTAGATACACAGGTTTTAATCCAAGACACCCATTTAGTCCCAAAACCAAAGCTGGACATCAAAGAGAACAGGAACTCCCAGTTAACTAAATCGAAAGCTTTCTCAAAATCTAGCTTGATGATCAACCCTTGTTTCTTAGCCTTCTTCCAACCATCTACTACTTCATTAGCAATAAACACCCCATCAAGGATATTCCTTCCCCCTATGAAAGCAGTTTGAGAATCACCAATAATGGAGGGCATTACGGACTTCATTCTGTGCGAGAGAACCTTTGCTAAAATCTTGTATATAGAACCCACCAGGCTAATGGGTCTGCAACCTGACAGATTATTGGGATTAGGAGTTTTGGGGATAAATGTAATGAACGAACTGTTGATGCCATAGGTAAGTCTGCTGTGGTTGTGAAAATATTGGAAGAATTGCATAATCACTTGTTTCATTATTCTCAAAACTTCTGATAGCATAGGAGATTAAACCCATTTGGTCCGGAAGGCTTGTTGCTATTACTCTCTTTAATTGCAGCCCATACCTTTGCTTCAGTGAAGACTGATACGAGATGATGGGAAATGGTGTCCTCAATTAATCTGAAATCCCCTTCCAATACAGGCCTCTTGACCCAACCTTCCTTGAAGTGTTTCTTAAAATAAAGGAACACCTCATGTTTAACTCTGCTTGGCTCCTCGAGAGACACACCATTAACTGAGATGAAATTTATCATGTTCCTATTATGTCTGGTACTTACAACAGCATAAAAGAACCTAGTATTTTTGTCCCCTTGCAAAGACCAATTCATTCGGGATTGTTGATGCCATAGCCACTCCACCTTCCTGTAGAGTTTCCACACTTCACATCTCACTTCTCTTCTTCGATCCATTTCTGATTGGAGCAGTACTCTTTCCTCTGCTATTCTGTTAAAGGCATGCAATTCCTTCCCTGTTTCCTTGAGCTTAGTGGTAATATTACCAAACACTTCAGTGTTCCAAACCTTTAGCTTCATCTTAAGATGCTTGAATTTTTGCTAGATTATGAAGCTTGCCCAACCAGAGGCAGTAGAATTCTCCCAGCAGGAAATGAAAAAATGAGAGAAATTAGGGTGCAGGGTCCAAGCATTAATAAACCTGAATGGCTTAGGGCCCCAATCTCTTTCATCTTCCATCATCAATAGAGGGCAATGATCTGATATTAACCTAGGCAGGCCCCAGAGTTTCATTTTGAAGTGAACTAACCATTCTGGGCTGAGCATTATTCTGTCAATTCTACTCCATTTCTGGGCCTCTTGAGAGTAACACCAAGTGTAGGACCGACCAAGGAGGAGCAGATCACTCAATTCACATTTGTCTATAAATTCATTAAGATGGCGCATTCCCATATCTCTTCTGACACAGCCAACTCTCTCCCCCATGTGCCTAATTTCATTAAGTTCACCAACCAAGCACTAAGGCCTAGGGAAGGAGTCCTTGAGCTTAAAGATGGAATTCCAAAGAGTGGACCGACTACTAACATCATTAGGAGCATATACATTTAGGAGGACACAATCAAAAGAGCTGTAGAGCGTACCTGAGAGGAGTATAAACCTCCTGTTACAACAGCTCCCAACTAGTTGGAAAACATCCGGATCCCAAATGCAGAGAAGCCCACCTGCAGTGCCAACAGGGTCTACAGACATAAATTCCATTTTCCGACTTCCCCAAAGCCTAGGAGCAGCAAACTCTGAATCTATTACTTTCTTGGTTTCTTGAAGGAAAGCAACATCAATATGTCTATCTCTCAGGAGACGTTTGATTATACCCCTCTTTTCAGGCTTACCAATGCCTCTGACATTCTAGGAGAAAAGCTTCATAGAGACCAGATGATGCACTGTGAGGCCCCCAGACACAGCAATCACGGCTTTGCTGAGCCCACTTCATTGATTCTCTCTTTATCATTAAGTTCAAGATCAATAATCTTGTCCATCACAGTAACTTTTTTACCCGTAAAATTAATTCCAAGTTGCTCCCCCAACTTGATGTTTGCTTTAGCTTCTTTGAGGAGGAAGCTGCTTGAGCTGGAATTTCCTTCGGACAAATCTGATTGAGCAAGGGCAGCAGTAGCAGGTCTGAGGATGACAGACCTGGATGAGTGCTTAACAGCGGTTGCAGCTGTCTGGCCATAAAGCCTAGCAAAATAGGAGAAGCCCTCCACATGAGCCTTCTTCTTCCCAGAATTCTTTACCTTCCGAAAGGAATTAGTGGTGAAAGAAGATGAACTATTGAGGCTTTGATCCTTAAGACCCAGAGTGCCCAAAGAAGATAAGCCAGCAATAACATGCGGGCCTGAGACTGGAGCATGACAAATAATAGGCCTAGTGGCAGGGAATTCAGGTGACTTGAGAATAGTTAGGCTTTGGACTCTTTGCAACCCATGTGGTTAGGCTAGATCCACCTCAAGGGAAATACCAGGCCCAAAGTCATCCATTGGCCCACTAAAGCTTTTGTTGGAGTGAGGAGATGAAACTTCCTCAGCACTCCTCAGTGGGTCAGCCAAGTTTAGTGGGTAGGGTGATAGCTCCCCCATCATTGCCCCATTCACACCTACTGCACTAGCACTGCAGAGCTTCCCCTCACACAACGTCTCCTCAACCTCCGTGTCTATCAACTCCCCACTGTAGCACTGGTTGAGTCCCTTCCTGAGTGCTTCCTCATTGGGACCAGGAGCCACCACACCAGCTACGTTCTCACCTAGCTGCCTATCATAGCCGGTCTCCGCAACCACTGTATCCTCCTTTTCACCACTGTTGCACTGTGTGAGCCTCCGATTACCATGTGCCATTGCAGCATCATCAACCTTCTCCTCGCCGAACTTCTGTGGAAAATTAATTGGCCCCACTCCTACAATGGAGTTACAATCATCATGCTCAGTGTGTGAGCTGGTAGGAAACTCAACTGTGTTGACCAGGTGATCCTCATACACAAGGATAGGATGAAGTAAGCCCTTGCACTCCAAATTTATTGTTGAAGAGATAAACCCCATGCAGGATGTCACCACTTTAATCCTGGTAGAGGAGGAGGACTTAGGTTGATTAACATCACCCTCTAAGCTAAGAACTGACCCCCACAAGTTGCCAATGTTGTTTAGTGTGCTTCTATTCCAGAGGTTAAGGGGTATGCCAAAACATCTTAACCACACATATCTCTCCTGCTGGATTTGAAGACCTGGCTGCCATTCTAATACAAACTGGCTCCAGTCTTTAAACCACACCTTCATATTGTGGACGTTAGATTGCATCTCCTTGTGGGAATTAAAAGTTACGACTACATCACGACCTCCCCCCTTTCTGACCACGGCCTGCAATATCCCATTCTCCTCAAGGGCCTCTCTGATACTATTTACAGTGTAATCCATATTTAGTCTGATTATAACACTGTCATATAGCCATCCGTGGCCATCTTCATTTGCTTTGATGGTCGTACAAGCTTCCCCATTGAGTTTGCCCCCTTTTAGTACCTCTGCGAACGTTCTAGAGCCAACAAATGGCATATGACCCCTCGTTGTGGTTGTTTCAAAAGCACCTCTATTGTTCTGAACCCGCCTCTGGCTTTGTACATCCCTGTTACTCCTATCGTAAGAAGCCATGTTGACTGCTAGCACCTTATCGTCCACCAAGAGGCTATTTGCTTTCTGAATAGCAACGTCTGATGCAACAGGACAACCAAATCTCACAAAACCAAATCGGGAGTTTGACACTCTCCTCCTTTTGAAAGGAATAAAAACATTGATTGATTAAAATTCCGATCTCTCCTCTATTTGGTTTATTAGAATGAGAGATAATGAAATGAAATGATATTATTTAAGTTTTCATATAGAATGATCATTTTCTTAAAATGAAGTAAGATGATTCCATTTGTAATGAATTTATCATTATATTTTTTAGTCTAATCAAATATGAGAATAAATATTTTAATGAAATGATCATTTTATTTTATCTAATTCCAAAGAACCAAACACTAGTTAAATATGAACGGAATCCACTCAACTATACATCTCAAACAAGAATTCATAAAAATAAAAACAAAAAACCTCCATCAATTATACTCATTTTCACGAGTCTTTTGTTTTAAAAAAAAGAACCACATTTATCTACATTATTCTGCATCAATTATCTGTTTGTATATCAGTGTTACTCATCTCAAAATGGAGTAATTATCTACAAATAAAAAAGAATACACTATTAAGACAAAGAGCATGTTATGATTTTTTTATTACAAAAAATAAGATTATCAAATCATTTTATTTTATTTTTATTAAAAAATAAAATTACGAAATAATTAACATTTTTCGTGAAAATCAATTCTAAGTTCTAGAGCTAAGACCACCAAGATTTAAATCCCCAGTCAGCAAAGCAGGGACACCGGCAACACACCAAAAAACAATCATCAGTCAGCTCGATCTAACATAAATAAAATAAAAGAGAAACAAAATTATTTATAAATATTAATTATTTATCAGAGTTAGCAAACCAAAAATAAAATAAAATAAAAGTCTTGTTTTGACAAACAATGGCTATTAATTTTCTTAACCCCACCCCCAAAACAAAATAGTTTCCTTCACTTTATTTTATTTTCATATCTCTTCCATTTCATTTTCATTTATCTCCATAAATTCAATCCAAACATTACCTTGTCACACATGCTCAATTTAGTGTGTTGTACATGCGCCTTTAATTTGGATAGAATTTGTTATTTTTCAATTGCAAAATCAAGATCATATGAATCTTATATGTGACTGTAAGATAATGTGTTTTTAGCTAAACTACAATGTATAAATTGTGATTAAAGTATTGTTATTCAAACCTAAAAATTAGACTTACTTTTTAGATCCAATAATGTGATACTCTATTAAAATTTTTAAATCAACTCTCTCTCATTTATTTTCCAATCACCAACCAATCATCTTGTTGTCATATTACTAGATCTAAAAAATAAATCTAGAAAGTAGACTTATATATCATTTTTCATCGTAAAAGATTTTTTTTTTTTTCCTCCACAATTGTTTTTTTTACAAATTTAACATTCAAATACAACCTTAACAGTTATAATTACAATAAAAGCTCATGTTATCTAGATAAACTGTTTACTTTACGTGGTTGCATTGTCTTTTGTATAAGACACTTGTTCAAGCTTGACTTAATTTTTTTTAACAGTTGATAATAACCATGAAAGTTCATGTTATCTAGATGGACTGTTTACATTATGTTTTTACAAGCGAAACACATATGAGCTAGAAAAGCAGTTCACCATACCTTTTCTTTTTCTTTTTCTTTTTGGGGCATAACCTTGTACAAGCTTCCATTCATTTTTCTTTTCCTGGTCGTAAGGCAAAGAATTTTGAAGTACTATGAACATTTAAAGAAAGATTACAAGAAAATAAAACATGACATCTAATTATGATGATTCTTGTTACTACCACCTGCTAGAGGAGAAAAAGAAAACCTCCGTACTGAGAATAGAAAATTTATAGGGTTTATTACACCTTATACTGGGAAACTATCATCAAATTGTCCATTAATCTCTCAATTATCAATTGAGTCTAGTCCAAAAGTATATAAATTAAAATTTATTTAATCCCTAAATTGTCAATTGAATCTATTTATTTATTTATTTATTTTATCAGCAAAGAAAAATTTCATTAACAGCATGAAATTAAGAGTACAGGAAGATGAAGTGCATTGAGAGAGATTCGGAAGGTACAAACTACCCCTACTACTGCTACTCGCACCCAAACAACCAAAATAATCTATTAAGTCCTTAAAGTATTTAATTCAAACCTATTTAATCTTTGAAAATATTACAAAAATAAAATATAAGCTCATAAGTATTATAAATTAGTAAAAAATACTATCTAGTTAAAATTTTATTTCCAAAAAATCTTAAATTTTTATATTATCTTCAAAAAGTGTGCATCAGTTCTTCTGGTGAATTTTCTCTATAAGGGTAAGAGTAATTATGTATAGTATTTTTT